CCAGACCGATGGTGGGGCCTGGACCTGGACAAGGCTGCCAGTGACCTCAGGATTGAGTGGAGGGGCTGGGGTGAGGCTGCCTGTGACCCCAGAACTGATGATGGGGCCTGGGACCAGATGAGGCTGCCTGTGACCTGCTGCCCCCTCATCCTAGTGCCACCCAGGCCGCGTCCTGTGGTGGCCCTGTAGTGGACACATTTTACTGTGAGTCCTGTGTTGACGCTGGAAGCCTGTTGGTACCTCAAGAAGGCGCAGCCCAGCAGAGGGGGACTTGGGAGCCTGTGGCGAGCCCCCAAGCCCTGCCGTGTGCTGTAGTTCCTCCAGGGCGGTGCTGGCACCCGACGAGGCCCAGAAGCTGGAAGCAGAGCGGTCCCGAGCGCCCGTGGTGCCATTTGGAGTGGACCTGTGCTCCTGGGGCCAGGAGCAGACGATGGCTGGGAAGGTTCTCAAGTGAGTATAGGTGTGTCTGCCTTCCTAGTGGACCCCTGGGCCTTAAAGATCTGGTCAGGGGCCACGCAGACCCCTGTACCATGAAGGCGTGCCCACACCAGAGCTCTCAGGCAGGTACGGACCCCTCCCTTTGCATTGCATCCAGGCTGGTGGCCGTCCCGGGCCTCTGTGCCAGCACCTGCCCTGACGTCTGGGGAGGTGGGTTTCTAGAGCGCTGTCCTGGCTGCAGCTGCGCCTGCAGACACCTGTAGCCGCCCACCCTCTCCCACCTGCCGCCTTCTCCACATTGGGTGCTGGGCTCCTAGGAGGTACCTGGGTGGTACCTGTGCTGATCGGCTGTGTGGCTAGCAGAGGGAGCGGGAGGGCCCCGGTGGGATGGCCTGGAGTGGCCAGTGGGGGCAGCTGTGGTTATCTGACCTCCCTTACCATGTCCAGTCACAAGTGGAGGGGTTTCCTCTCAGGGGACCTGACCTTTCCACAGCCCTCAGGATATAGGTGGGGGCAGGGGAGCATGGAAAGGGTCCCTGGTCACCTGAGCATGCAAGGCTGGTGTCTCAGTACCACTTCACCTTCTTGGGGCTGGGTGACCAGGTAGGAGGGGCCCTGACTGGGTGCTGGGTGACCAGGTGGAAGGGGC